TCTCCACTGTCTTACCGTGTCCGGCAGCCCCCTCTGGCACCCTATCAGGTCTCTACCTCCCCTTGTTCTGTACAAACTTGGTGAGTGGAGCTGATCTACAGGATAGGGGGGTTGACCAGTTCACTCCTACGAGTCAGCGGGTGACCCACTGTACGTGTGCTCGGACAGACCGACACTTGGCCACGTTCACCCGTCGGCCGGGGTCGAGCCTGTACACACTTACTACTGAGTCTCCTCCAGCTGCTGAGTCTGGTCAGGTAGCTGCGTTGAGTCAGGTGGTTGCTGCAGCGTCCAGGTCTGGTCCTGAGTCTGCTCCCTGCTCGTGTCATCTCCTGTCCCACCAGACTCTCCTTTGGCACCACCGCCTTGGTCACCCCTCCCTGCCTCGTCTCCAACGCATGGCCTCCCGTGTCCTTGTCTCTGGTCTCCCCCGGTCTCTCCCTCCCCTACCTCCGGGGCCTGCTCGACCTGCGTCCCCTACGTCTAGGGGCGACAGCGCACCACCCCTCACTCCTCCCAGTTTCCTCCGACAGAGGCTCCCCTGCAGACTCTTCACATGGACGTGTGGGGCCCCGCTCGCGTCCGTGGCCAGGGGCACGAGCGTTACTTCCTGTTGGTGGTTGACGACTACTCGCGTTACACCACAGTCTTCCCCTTGCGCAAGAAGGGTGACGTCACTGAGGTGTTGATCGACTGGATCCGCGCAGCTCGTCTCCAGCTCAGAGAGAGTTTCGGCTCGGACTTTCCTGTTCTGCGTCTGCACTCTGACAGAGGCGGGGAGTTTTCCTCTGCCCGTCTGGGAGCCTTCTGTCGAGCACAGGGCATCCACAAGACCTTCACGCTTCCGGCCTCTCCACAGCAAAATGGGATTGCTGAGCGCCGCATTGGCATGGTCATGGACGTCGCTCGTACGTCCATGATCCATGCGGCTGCCCCCCATTTTGTGTGGCCGTTTGCGGTTCAGTACGCCGCGCATCAGCTCAACCTTCAGCCCCGGGTCTCCTTGCCAGAGACCTCCCCCACCCTGCGGTGGACGGGGACGGTTGGCGATGCGTCTGCGTTTCGGGTCTGGGGATCTCGGGCGTTTGTCCGCGACTTGTCTGCGGACAAGCTGTCCCCCCGTGCTATTCCCTGCGTCTTCCTTAGCTTCCCCCCTAACGCGCCTGGGTGGCAGTTTTACCACCCCACCTCGCGCCGTGTTCTGTCCTCCCAGGACGTCACCTTTGTTCAGTCGGTGCCTTACTACCGTCTCTTCCCCTACCGCACTGCGCCCCTCCCCCCGCCGCCGCTCTTCCTTGCGCCAGGTCCTCCCCCGGTAGACCCCCTCCCCCCTCAGGGTCCTGCCCCGTCAGGTGTGTCCCAGGTAGACGCAGTCGAGCCTATCAAGGTAGCTGTTGACTCTTGTGCTGCTAGAGGTGCTGAGCCTGCGGGAGCGGGGTCTGGAGGTGCTGAGCCTGGGGGTGCGGAGCCTGGGGGTGCTGAGTCCAGGGGTGCTGAGCCCGGGGGTGCTGAGACTGGGGGTGCTGAGCCTGGGGGTGCTGAGTCTGGGGGTGTTGAGCCTGGGGGTGCGGAGCCTGGGGGTGCTGGGTCTACTCGTGTGGCCTCTCGCGGTGCTTGGTCGAGGCATGAGCCACTCTCTCCACAGGAGCTGCGCGAGTGGTTTGCCCGACGCTGGAGCTGTGCTGCTGGAGCTGGAGGTGCTGCTGTTACTGCTGACCCTGGGGTCGGCACTGGCGGTACTGGAGCTGCTGCGACTAGGGGTGTTGCTGGAGCTGCTGGCGGTACTGGAGCTGCTGGAGTTGGTGCTGGTGGAGCTGCTGGAGCTGGAGCTGCTGGGGGTGTTGGCGCTGGTGGTGCTACTGGCGCTGGTGCTTCTGAGGGTCCTGGAGTTGACGCTGTTGGAGCTGGAGGTGCTGCTGGCGCTGGTACTGCCGCTGGGGGTACTGGTGTTGTCCCTGCTGGTTCTAGAGGCGCTGCGCGGCCGCGTCCGTACTTCGTTCCGCTCCTTGAGCAGGTTCTTGGTCTCCCGCCCACTACTGGTCTTGCTCCTCCCTTAGATAGTCCACAGCCTGTTCAGTCGCGGTCACAGCTACAGTTCTTGGTCTCCCGCCCACTACTGGTCTTGCTCCTTAGAGCTTGTCGACTTTGCTGCTCGCTGCCGTCTAGACTACGCTACTAGTCTTGTTGCTGAGTCTGAGTCTGTCTGTCCTCCGTCCGTCGGGGGTGAGTGTGCTCTTGGCACGGACGTCCTTGAGGACAGGCAAGAGGAGTTCCAGTGTTTTGCTGCTGCTTTGCCTCATCTCGTGTCCACGCTGATTGCCCGTGAGGGAGACCCGGATGCACCAGACATCCCGACTCCTCGATCGTACGCTGAGGCAATCGAGGGTCCCTACTCCTCACAGTGGCAGTCAGCCATGGACGCAGAGATGGCTTCCTGGAAGTCCACAGGCACCTACGTCGACGAGGTTCCCCCACCTGGGGCGAACATCGTCAGTGGCATGTGGATTTTCAGGGTGAAGCGGCCGCCTACTTGTAGGGTTTCCTACTTGTACCCAACCTTGTGCTAGTTCATTCATTCCTCGTTTCTTCATACGCAGGTTTTCCTAGGATTGCTGCGCGGGTGCCCACTCGTTCAAAAAGAGGCGAATGCTCAGCTGTTCTTTTGGCGCAGGTTCAGAATCAGTACTGTAAAGGCCCGGAGCGGCTGGTTGTAGTACTGCATCTTCTCATGAGGTGAGCCGTTGGTCAGAAATGTGTATGACCCGTCATAGTACATCCAGATCTGAGCGCCTTGAGCTAGTAGCTCGAATTCAAAGCTCCAGGTGTAGAAGTTTTGCCCGTCGAAGGGCTTCGTTGTTTTGAGCTTTGATGTTGAGAGGAATTTGCTCTGCATTGACGCCATTGCTTTGTAATGCGTCTGTTGTGCTTGTGCAGATCCTTGGGCTCCGCGGCTGTCAAAGGTGAAGGATCGTTCAGGTCCAGCTCCATGAGGATCGGGAGGTCTTCGGGCGTAACTGGAGCCGTCGATGCTCATCGGCTGATGGCTCTCCAGGGCGCTGATGCGGGAGATCAACTGCTCGAGGAGCGCTGTATCCACGGTCGTTGTAGTGGAAGCGACATTGGTGGAGGGTTGTACTGGATTCTCTCCAGCCTCTCCGCAATCTGCGCATGGCATATTGTTGCCCATGATGTAAAGATGACTTGGAATAAAGCTCGCTTTGAAGCCTTTTAGCAGTTCCTATAATCCAGACTAGCTCTCATACAATGTTAGAGTGAAGGATCTTGGATAAGATAGGAATGCCTTAGAAGAGTTTGGTAGCGGAAGTCTTTGTTGTAGGAACCCCGATCATAGTGAATGTGGATGACAAAGTCGATTAAAACAAAAAAACACACACAATAAACATATGTATCTAGCCATGTATTTTAAGGGGTACATTCTCTTATTCTAACTATTTTACAGACAATTCTACAGTGACTCTGACTATTGCACTTCTTTCTTGTTACCGAGTCGCTGCACGTAACCGTAGACACGGTTACGCCTGTTGCCTTTCCTTGATAGTAAGTCAATCGTCGGTCCAGATGGCCAACAGTCGCGACAGTTGACTGTGGCGTATGTTGACCTTCCTCCCCTTGATACAGGCTGATACGATACCGTCAAACCCTGAATATAAGCGCCACCCTCGGATAAGCGCATGGCGCTTTTAATTGGTGCATGACGCTTATATCCGCTGCTCGATTATAAGCGCTGTGAAAAACGAGGAATGAAGAAGAGGTTGCACTAGCAGCAGTTGGCATACATATACGAAACCCTAATTGGGTTGTACTCGCTATAAAGTACCCCACTGCAGGCTAGACAATTATAACAGTCTGACAAGCGCACCCCCTGAAAAGAACTTGTTTTATTATAAGCGCACGTAAAATTTGAAATGTGTTCAAAATGCTATAACGATTTTTCCTTTAGCAGGCGGATGTGTTGCAGATTCGGTCAAGGTGATATATGGCATAGCTACTGTAGGCTATAGTGGGGTAGCACATATGGGGTACAACTTTCTAGGGTTTGTACTTGTACCCCACTTTCCTTTAGTCATTTCATTCTCGTTCATTTTCTCATGGTATCGAGCAGGTTCCCCTGTGGGAACTGTTCCTAGGGCCCACCACCTTTTTTTCCCTGCCCGGAGTACGCTCTATACTGCCCGAGTCGCGCTCCCCTCTCACGGCCCAGTCGCGCCGCCCTCTCGACCATGTCGAGCCGCCTTAGCGGCCCCGTCGCGTCGCGCTTGCGGCCCCGTCGCGTCGCACTCGTGGCCCCTTCACGTCGCGCCGCCCTCGCGGCCGCGTCGCGCCGCCCTCGCGGCCCTGATCCGCCGCCCTCGCGTCTCCGTCGCGTCGCGCCGCCCTCGCGGCCCTCTCACGCCGCCCTCGCGGCCTCTTCAAGCCGCCCTCGCGACCCCCCCCCCTCCTAGCCGCCCTAGCGGCCCCGTCGCCTACCCCTGCGGCCCCGGCGCCGCCCTTCCCTGCCTCGGCGCCGCCTCTGCTGGCCCCGTCGCCTACCCCTGCGGCCCCGGAGCTGCCCTTCCCGGCCCCGGCGCCGCCTCTGTTGGCCCCGACGCCGCTCCACCCGGCCCCGACGTCGCTCCACCCGGCCCCGCCGCCGCTCCACCCGGCACCGCCGCCGTCCTCACGCGGCCCCGCCGTCACCACCGAGCCGCCGGCGCCGCCGAACTGCTACCGAGCCGCCCGACTCACCCGAGCTGCCCAAGCCGCCGCGCCACCTGAGCCGCCCGAGCCGCCGGGTCGCCGAGCCGCCGAGCTGCAGTTGCTGCCGAGCCGCCGTACCGCCGAGCCGCCCGAGCCGCCCGAGCCGCCGAGTCGCCGAGCCGCAGTTGTTGCCGAGCCGCAGAGCTGCCGAGCCGCCCGAGCCGCCCTGTCCGGTGAGGAGCAGCGCCTCTGCCACTGTACTGCCCTTACCCTACTGTTCGCGCTGCTAGTCTAATGCTGTCATGGCTACCCCTAATGTCCTCGCTTTTCACGCTGAGGGTCGGGCCATTGACTTTGACGTCTGGGTAGATGACCTGCAGCTTTTCCTACAGTGCGATAGGGCAGACGTTCTCTCCCTCTTTGACCTCACCTCTGGTGCCTCTCCTGCCCCTGCTGCTGATGCCGACGCCACTGTTCGCTCACAGTGGGCCACACGCGATGCTGCTGCATGTCTTGCTGTGCGTCGCCACCTGCCTACCTCAAAGCGTGCGCACTTTAGCCAGTACAAGAGTGCTAAGACCTTGTACGACACTGTAGTTGCACGCTACTCCTCCCCTGCCATTGCTGCACTGAACCGTCTCATGCTACCGTACCTCTTCCCTGACCTTGCTGCCTTTCCCACAGTCGGTGACCTCATTACGCACCTCCGCACTAGTGACACTCGCTACCGCGCTGCGCTTCCTGCTGAGTTTTGTGCCAAGAACCCCCCCCCCCCCCCCCCCCATGTACATCACCCTCTACTACATAGTCACCCGGCTCCCTGACTCCCTTTGCTTAGTCACGGACCACTCCCTCTCAGTTTGCCCCACCACACTCACCGTTGACCTCCTTGAGGAGCGCCTCCTAGCAGCAGAGAAGAGCATAGTCGCTGTAGGAGCCTCTCGTGGTGACCCTCGCACCCCCGTCATTGAGGGGTGTTCCCCTTCCCCCCTCTTGCCCTCTGTTGCTTCTGCTGGTGCGGCCGACCTCGTTGGTTTTGAGTCGGTCGGCGCTGCGTCTACCCCTAGCGGGAGACGCTGCAACGGCAAGGGCAAGGGGGGCAAGGGCGCAGGAGGGGCCGGCGGGGGCGGTGGAGGTGGTGGTGGAGGCAGTGGAGGGGGTGGGGTTGGTGGTGGGAGTGGTGGCGAGGGTGGCGGTGTCAGTGGCAGCAGTGGAGGCGGAGGAGGCGGCGGCGGTGGCGGAGGGAACGGAGGCGGCGGAGGTGGCGGAGGTGGCAGAGGCGGCGGAGGTGGCGGAGGCGGCGGCGGCAGCGGTGGAGCTGGTAGCGGCTTTGTGCAGAGGAGTGGGTCCAGTGGTGGTCTGCGCCAGCAGCAGCAACGCAGTCATGAGACCCTGTCCCCTCAGCAGCTTCGTGAGTGGTATGCTTCGCGTCACCGCGGGGGGGGGGGGGGGGGGGGGGGGGGGGGTACTGGTCCCTGCACCTACGTCCTCCGTACCGGCGACCACGCTGGTGAGCAGTGCGGGGGCCCGCACTCCACCCTGCGCTGCTTCGGCTGACTGACGGACGCGTGGCATCACCAGTTCCCTGAGGCCTCTGAGATCCCTCGCTTGGGAGAGCTGTCTAGGGCGGGAGTTGCTATCTTTGATCTTGACTTTGATGCTATTCTTGCTGCCATGTATGCTGTGTCTGATAGTGTTGAGGGTGACAGTTACCTGTGTGTTCCGCCTGACCCGGGCATTAAGGCTGCTGCTCTAGGTGCTAGTGCGTCTGCTGCCCCAGGTGCTGGTGAGTCTGCTCTCTCAGTTACCACGTCGGCTTAGGCCTTACACACATTCACCCTTGACTCGGGTGCTTCCCGCTCCTTCTTTCGAGACCGCACCACGCTTACGCCGCTTAGTCGGCCGGTTGCAGTCTCCCTAGCGGACCCCTCTGGGGGTCCTGTCCTTGCTCGCTTCTCCACTACTGAGTCTCCTCCAGCTGCTGAGTCTGGCCAGGTAGCTGCGTCGAGTCAGGTGTTCGCTGCAGCGTCCAGGTCTGGTCCTGAGTCTGCTCCCTGCTCGTGTCGTCTCCTGTCCCACCTGACTCTCCTTTGGCACCACCGCCTTGGTCACCCCTCCTTGCCTCGTCTCCAAGGCATGGCCTCCCGTGTCCTTGTCTCTGGTCTCCCCCGGTCTCTCCCTCCCCTACCTCCGGGGCCTGCTCCTACATGCGTCCCCTACGTCGAGGGGCGACAGCGCGCCACCCCTCACTCCTCCGAGTTTCCTCCGACAGAGGCTCCCTTGCAGACTCTTCATATGGACGTGTGGGGCCCCGCCCGCGTCCGTGGCCAGGGGCACGAGCGTTACTTCCTGTTGGTGGTTGACGACTACTCGCATTACACCACAGTCTTCCCCTTGCGCGGCAAGGGTGACGTCACTGAGGTGTTGATCGACTGGATCCGCGCAGCTCGTCTCCAGCTCAGAGAGAGTTTTAGCTCGGACTTTCCTGTTCTGCGTCTGCACTCTGATAGAGGCGGGGAGTTTTCCTCTGCCCGTCTGGGAGCCTTCTGTCGAGCACAGGGCATCCACAAGACCTTCACGCTTCCGGCCTCTCCACAGCAAAATGGGATTTCTGAGCGCCGCATTGGCATGGTCATGGACGTCGCTCGTACGTCCATGATCCATGCGACTGCCCCCCATTTTCTGTGGCCGTTTGCGGTTCAGTACGCAGCGCATCAGCTCAACCTTCAGCCCCGGGTCTCCTTGCCAGAGACCTCCCCCACCCTGCGGTGGACGGGGAAGGTTGGCGATGCGTCTGCGTTCCGGGTCTGGGGATCTCGGGCGTTTGTCCGCGACTTGTCTGCGGACAAGCTGTCCCCCCGTGCTGTTCCCTGCGTCTTCCTTGGCTTCCCCCCTGACGCGCCTGGGTGGCATTTTTACCACCCCACCTCACGACGTGTTCTGTCCTCCCAGGACGTCACCTTTGACGAGTCAGTGCCTTACTACCGTCTCTTCCCCTACCGCACTACACCCCTACCCCCGCCGCCGCTCTTCCTTGCGCCAGGTCCTCCCCCGGTAGACCCCCTCCCCCCTCAGGGTCCTGCCCCGTCAGGTGTGTCCCAGGTAGACGCAGTCGAGCCTATTGAGGCAGCTGTTGACTCTAGTGCTGCTAGAGGTGCTGAGCCTGCGGGTGCGGGGTCTGGAGGTGCTGAGCCTGGGGGTGCGGAGCCTGGGGGTGCTGAGTCCAGGGGTGCTGAGCCTAGGGGTGCTGAGATTGGGGGTGCTGAGCGTGGGGGTGCTGAGTCTGGGGGTGTTGAGCCTGGGGGTGCGGAGCCTGGGGGTGCTGGGTCTGCTCGTGTGGCCTCTTGCGGTGCTTCGTCGAGGCGGGAGCCACTCTCTCCGCAGGAGCTGCGAGAGTGGTTTGCCCGGCGCTGGAGCTGTGCTGCTGGAGCTGGAGGTGCTGCTGTTACTGCTGACCCTGGGGTCGGCACTGGCGGTACTGGAGCTGCTGCGACTAGGGGTGTTGCTGGAGCTGCTGGCGGTACTGGAGCTGCTGGAGTTGGTGCTGGTGGAGCTGCTGGAGCTGGAGCTGCTGGGGGTGTTGGCGCTGGTGGTGCTACTGGCGCTGGTGCTTCTGAGGGTCCTGGAGTTGACGCTGTTGGAGCTGGAGGTGCTGCTGGCGCTGGTACTGCCGCTGGGGGTACTGGTGTTGTCCCTGCTGGTTCTAGAGGCGCTGCGCGGCCGCGTCCGTACTTCGTTCCGCTCCTTGAGCAGGTTCTTGGTCTCCCGCCCACTACTGGTCTTGCTCCTCCCTTAGAGTGTCCACAGCCTGTTCAGTCGCGGTCACAGCTACAGCCCGCCTTCCCCCTACCTGCTCCTTCTCCCTACGCTGGTCCTCTGGAGGTCTTGCTGAGCGTCGTGAGCTTGCGTCTCCTCCTGCGTTGCCTGTTCGTGCTACTCGCACTAGTCGCCGTGCTCCGTGTCCGCGTCCTCCCACGATCCCAGGCACACACCAGATGGCACTGCGTCCTTCCACTGCTCCTCTTCGTGTCCCGTTGCCGTCTCCTCCAGAGTCCTCTCTTCCTGTCCTTGCTGACCCGAAGTCAGACTCTCTTCGTGCTGCCAGTCCTACTGTCACATGTCTCCTAGCTACTGTTGTCACTGACCCTTCCTTTGAGTCCACTGCTGCGTCTGCCTTGGTTGCTGAGCTTGTCGACTTTGCTGCTCGCTGTCGTCTAGACTACGCTACTAGTCTTGTTGCTGAGTCTCAGTCTGTCTGTCCTCCATCTGTCGGGGGTGAGTGTGCTCTTGGCACGGACGTCCTTGAGGACAGGCAGGAGGAGTTCCAGTGTTTTGTTGCTGCTTTGCCTCATCTCGTGTCCACGCTGATTGCCCGTGAGGGAGACCCGGATGCATCAGACATCCCGACTCCTCGATCATACGCTGAGGCGATCGAGGGTCCCTACTCCTCTCAGTGGCAGTCAGCCATGGACGCAGAGATGGCTTCCTGGAAGTCCACAGGCACCTACGTCGACGAGGTTACCCCACCTGGGGCGAACATCGTCAGTGGCATGTGGATTTTCAAGGTGAAGCGGCCGCCTACTTGTAGGGTTTTCTACTTGTACCCAACCTTGTGCTAGTTCATTCATTCCTCGTTTCTTCACACGCAGGTTTTCCCAGGATTGCTGCGCGGGTGCCCACTCGTTCTTGAAGAGGCCAATGCTCAGCTGTTCTTTTGGCGCAGGTTCCGAATCAGTACTGTAAAGGCTAGGAGCGACTCGTTGTAGTACTGCATCTTCTCATGAGGTGAGCCGTTGGTCAGAAATGTGTATGACCCGTCATAGTAAATCCAGAGCTGAGCGCCTTGAGCTAGTAGCTCGAATTCAAAGCTCCAGGTGTAGAAGTTTTGCCCGTCGAAGGGCTTCGTTGTTTTGAGCTTCGATGTTGAGAGGAATTTGCTCTGCATTGACGCCATTGCTTTGTAATGCGTCTGTTGTGCTTGTGCAGATCCTTGGGCTCCGCGGCTGTCAAAGGTGAAGGATCGTTCAGGTCCAGCTCCATGAGGATCGGGAGGTCTTCGGGCGTAACTGGAGCCGTCGATGCTCATCGGCTGATGGCTCTCCAGGGCGCTGATGCGGGAGATCAACTGCTCGAGGAGCGCTGTATCCACGGTCGTTGTAGTGGAAGCGACATTGGTGGAGGGTTGTACTGAATTCTCTCCAGCCTCTCCGCAATCTGCGCATGGCATATTGTTGCCCTTGATGTAAAGATGACTTGGAATAAAGCTCGCTTTGAAGCTTTTTAGCAGTTTTTATAATCCAAACTCCGCTCCTTCAGCAGGTTCTTGGTCTCCCGCCTTCTACTGGTCCTCTGTCTCCCTTAGAGTGTCCGCAACGTGTCCCGTCACAGTTACAGCTCTAGGCGGTCTCCCCACTGCCTGATCCTTCTCCCTACACTGGTCCTACTGGAGGTCTTGCTGAGCGTCGTGAGCCTGCGTCTCGCCCTGCGTCGCCCGTCCGTCCTGCTCGCACTAGTGGTTGTGGTTCGCGTCAGCGTCCTCCTCCTGTCCCTGGCACGCACTGGATCTCTCTACGTCCGTCCATTGCTCCTCTGCGTGCCCCTTTGCCTTCTCCTCTTGCATCCTCGCTTCCTGCTCTTGCCGACCCGGAGTCGGACTCTCTTCGTGCTGCCAGTCCTACTGTCACGCGTCTCCTTGCTACTGTCGTCACTGACCCTTCCTTTGAGTCCACTGCTGCGTCTGCCCTAGTTGCTGAGCTCGTCGACTTCGCTGCTCGCTGTCGTCTAGACTACGCTGCTAGTCTGTCTGTCCTCCGTCCGTCGGGGGTGGGTGTGCTCTTGGCACGGACGTCCTTCAGGACAGGCAAGAGGAGTTCCAGTGTTTGGCTGCTGCTTCACCTCATCTCGTGTCAGTACTGCTTACCCCTGAGGGAGACCCGGATGCACTTGACATCCCGACTCCGCGCTCTTACGCGGAGGCGATAGAGGGTCCCTACGCCTCTCAGTGGCAGGCAGCTATGGATGTCAGAATCCCAACCACTAGACCATTGGGATAAAAGGGCTTGTTTCAGTAGCGGGTGAGTGCGCCCATAACCCCCCAGGCGAACGCGCCTGTCACCCTCTCCAGGATTAATCAGGCATCCACAGTGCAGATCTACTGACACCCACCCACACTGGGAGGCCCAGGACTAAGCACAGCGGCAACGGCCTACATGTGCATACACCGGGAATCAAACCCGAGACCGCTCTAATACCATGTCAGAATCCCAGTCACTAGACCATTGGGATAGAAGGGCTTGTTAAGTAGCGGGTGAGTGCGCCCATAACCCCCCAGGCGAACGCGCCTGTAACCCTCTCCAGGATCAATCGGTCACCCACAGTGTAGATCTACTGACAATGGACACAGAGATGACTTCCCGGAAGTCCACAGGCACCTACGTTGACGAGGTTCCCCCGCCTGGGGCGAACATCGTCAGTGGCATGTGGATTTTCAGGGTGAAGCGGCCGCCGGGTTCTCCGCCTGTCTTCAAGGCGCGTTACGTGGCTCGTGGCTTCAGTCAGTGGCAGGGAGTTGACTACTTTCAGACCTTCTCTCCCACCTCGAAGATGACCACTCTTTGGGTACTACTGCACATAGCTGCTCACCGCGACTACGAGCTGCACTCTCTTGACTTCAGCACTGCTTTCTTGCAGGGCAGCCTGCACGAGGAGATCTGGCTGCGTCGCCCACCTGGCTTCACTGGGTCTTTTCTTCCTGGCACCCAGTGGAGCCTCCGGCGGCCAGTCTACGGTCTTCGCCGGGCACCGCGTGAGTGGCACGACAC